TCGAACTCGTGACAAAGCCAGCCACGACCCAATACCTATACCACTCGTTTACTGCGGCCGCACTGAGCTCAAATTCATCGTCAAAGTCCGCAGAGGAACTCTTGCACGGTACCAAATAAAAAATAAAGTTTAACTCTTTTTGGATGACTTTTTGTGTGAAATAAAAGTCAAGGTGATATTTTTCATGTTTTAGATTAAAAGAAAAAATCTTTTAAAAAATCCTAGTACGGGATCATGAAAATATCTATCATCATGCAAATGTACATGTTAAGCTCAGAACAAAATAAATAAATAAAATAATCATTTTTTTCCTGATGATAATTTAAAAAAATTATTATTATTCTAATTTCATCTGCATTGCGGCGTTCCTCGTCAGAATTTTTTTTATTAATGCCATCTTCTGTTACCCAACCATCTTCTAATGAGTCTAAGTAATCGTCAATGTCTCTCTCCTAAATTTCTCTACCAAAATAACATAAAATATACATACAGTAAAAAACATTTTCGTCATACATTAACAGAGCAACAATTGCATAGTGATGTAAATTACTGTCGTAAGGTTTTGGGAAGATTATTTTGGGTATTCGATATATATGAATTGCACAGAAAATAACAGAAACATAAAGTACAAACCTTTTTACCGCTCATTATCGCTTTTAATAGCAAAAAAAAAAAAAAATCTTAAGTTAGTTATAAAACATTTTTTTAATTTCTAATGGCATTTATGAACAGTTATTACAGAGTTCATTAATCTACCTAGTTTCGAGCCCAGTACCACTAAAGACCCGCTGTGTAGGGCAGCGATGCACGTTAAATCTGTCGAGAGCTGAAACGTCCTCCCGTTGGTGTGGTGTGGTAGTTAGGAGAGGGGGTGCCAGCTCAGGTGTCGTCCACGTCACTTGACCATGGTTCAAAATTACGTGGTCCGTCGCCAAAAGCCCTCGTGTAGCTGAACAGTGCGACGTTAATATTCAATCAATCAATCAATAGGCCATCCCAAGCGGGATTCGAACCCACGACCTTTGGATTACAAGTCCAACGTGCTGTCCATTGCGTTACAGGGACACAAAGAACGATTTTCTTTTCTATATATGCTGTTGGACTATTATTTTTGTTCGTTAATATTTATTCATTTTTTAATTAAATGAAGGAATTAATGTTTGAAAAACTGTATTAACATCAAGTGTCATCCACTACAAGTTTAAAAAAATCCATTTGAAATTGAATGGATGAAGAGAAAGTATTTTGTTAATGATTGAAAATTTAAACGATATATATATATATATATATTATAGGGAGAGAGTTAGCTAATAGTAGGAATTGAAAAATATTCAAGAAATCGCACGTTTCTTCCAACCACAACAAACAGCGGAATGATACGTTCAAACCCGCTATAATCATAGTGACTCTTGATTTTTTGACAGCTACGTTCCTTTTCTTTCGCAATAATCGTGAAGCAAGTCGCCAACAATTACCAATTTACAGAACACCTGTATTGAGAACAATTTTTTGTTCACCAAATGTTAGGATGGAAATTTCCATCATTATACAAAGAAGGGTTAAAGTAGCCAAACATTCAAATGAATTGAAAGAAAACAAGTTCAAATGATCTGTCTCACTAATGTTAATCCATCCTGTTGATACCGCACCCCACGATGATTGAATGAATTATTGGTATCTCAATGTGTTTATATAGCTCGTAATAACCTATATTCACCAAAATACAGGAAACATCGCATCTCTTTTCCCACGAGTTACATCATCATTTCCTTTTATTTTTGTCATCGGAGTTCGTAGGAAATGCGCCAAATCGCTGTGTTTTTCTCATATGTACACAAATAAGCCAGTCGAAAACACGTAAAGAGGTAAATGAAATAAGTTATTAAAAAATACTACTGTTATGTTATTCAACATGTTAGCTTTGGCGGAAACGCTCGTATCACATTTCGCTGGCTGATATTAATTATTGTGGCGTTTAATTGAGAAATACGCGCCGGGACGTAAACA